GCTGCTTAGAAATTACCAATTTAGTAATTTCCTTTTTGTTGTTTTTGTGTTTTCCGAGAGAGATAAAATATGAAAACCAAATCGGTGGCAGCGGGGGATACCCCTGCTGCTGTGAATGTTTCTGCCTGCCACAGCCGGCAATGAAAGAGACTTTTGTTTTGTTCTGTTTGACAAGCTTGTCTGCGGGAGAAGAGCAAAGGATCCTGCCAGTTGGCACAACTTCCATTCAGACTTCAAAACTCCCTGTCTTCTCCATGCAGCGGAAGAAGCAACGGCGAGCACTCTATATCTCTGCGGTGACAGGACTGCTTACTTCTCTGCACTCTTTTCACAGCCCGGCTTTGTGTCTTACTTCCCTCCTTGAGTGACATGCAGAAGGGATGCATGCAGTACACACGCTTACACCTGGAAAACGCCTGCCAGCTAACACCTCACCCCCAAACACACACACACACCATTATCCCACTGGAAGGATGCTTAATTGGCTGCAAGATGAATTGCAGGTGATCTTGGGAAATCACAGGCAGCTGTTTCTACTGAATCGGATCTCAGGATCATCTAGCCCAACACTGTCAATAATGGCTGGCAGCAACGGCTCTCCAGCGTTTTGGGGAGAGCTTCCCCCCAGCCCTACCTCAGTCACAGAATCCGAGAAGCATTCAATCATAGAATAGTAGAGTTGGAAGGCGATCAAGTCTAACGCCCTGCTCAGCGCAGGAGTCCAAGTTAAAGCCATCAAGGTGTCAGCCATCCCTGATGAAGGGCTGTCCAGCTGCATCTTCTTTTTTTAATAATAAGTTTTATTCAAACTCCTAATACAAAGAAAAACTAAAAACAGCAGCAATCATCAGAAACATCAGACCTGCTGGGTCAGCCCCCACATTTTTTCTATTTATGATAACTTAAAAACATATTTAAATCTATACGAAGTCCCGTTTCTCTAGCCAATAAGAAAAAGAGTCCCAAGTTTGATAGAAATCAGTATCTTCTTGCTCATTCAATGACAAAGTCAGTCTGTCCATTTCTGCACAGCCCAAGAACTTTTTTAGGATCAGTTCGTCGGTGGGTGGTTCTTCACTTTCCAGTGTTGGGCAAATCAGCTGCATCTTGAATGCCTCTGGTGTGGGAGAGCCCCCTGCCTCCCTAGACCATGAGTTCCATTGCAAAACTGCTCTAAAAGTCAGGAAATTTACCCTGATGTCCAGTCAGAATCTGGCTTCCTGCAGCTTGAGTCTGCAATTCCATGCCCTGCATTCCGAGAAGAGATTGTGGCCTTCCTCTGTGTGTCGGCCTTTTGTGAGATATGCTTTTGGACACCAGGTCAATACCTTTTTATTCGTCCAATATTTTAATGTTTAATAGATTTTAGTTATCTTTTACTTCAGGCATGGGTTAATAGTTTTAATTATCATTTGGGGTATTTATGATATTTACATTGTTGTATTTATTGAATTTCTTGTAAGCTGTCCAGAGACACAGAGTGATTGGACAGATTAGAAATATCCCCAATAAATAAATAAATAGATTTTTAAAACATCGCCTACAATATCTTTGCGGATCTTGCAAGAGGCTGTGAAAAACCTAGCAGAACAAACTGTTTGCAGCCCAATAGAGCATTTGCCGTTTTTGCAACCACATCACACTGATGACTCATATTCAGTTTGTGATCTACAGCAATTCCAAGATCCTTCTTGCCTGTGGCCTTGCAATGCTGATGACTGAATCCAGGGCCTTTTGCTTGCAAAGTTTTGTCCTTGTCACATGCTTTCCAGAATTACCAGCTGGAGCTAAAATTAAAAAAAAAAAATTAAAAAATCCTGGAGAGCTATAAGACTAAGTAGGAACCAACGGCCTAGAGAAGTTGTGGAGTCTTCTACAATTTCAGATGCAGCTGGACAACCATCAGTTAGAGAATCTTGAAGCTGGAGTCCTGTATTGAGCTGGCGGTTGGACTTGAGAGCCTTCTTGGCCCCTTTCAGCTCTACAATGTCATGATTCGATGATTGCATCATCTGGCATGCAGTTCACCTCATCTTCTTGCAAAACCACCCCTTCAGGCTGTATGAAGCTCCACCAAGCATCACCTTGGTTCCAAACCTTCTTTTTTCTTGCTTCTCTTTTCCCCACCAATGCAGATTTTCTCTGCACAGCAAAGCATATTCAGTACAACCCCGAGCCTTGTTGCAGCCTCAGATCTTCCTCTCATCCCTAGATCCCACTGATCAGCCCTCTTCTTACTGGACTTTGGTCTACCTTGACAGCTCAGAATGCTGGTTCAAACTGAGTGCCTCACCCCACTGACCAGAAAGCTATGAGCTGAACACAGTTGCAGTCAAACTGGGGATAAGATGGGGGCGAGAAAGCACACACTGTCCCTGAGCATCACTGCACATCTGGCCACCTCCGAGACTACTGTGCATTGAGTGTGAAGGTCTGCACAGAGGTATCTAAGCATGCTTGGTTGCACATCCTTACACAATCCCCAACTTTCATGGCAGTCGCGTAAGCTTATTCAGTTTTTCCAGACTTTCATGCTCAATGCACAAGATGTGAGTGCTCACACAAGTCCAGTTCACATTTTGGCCTGACTCTGTAGAGAAACCCAGAGCATCATTTTGAGGGTCTGTTACAACCTTGCAACATGGCTATCCCAGAACACCTACCACAATCCCAACCCTTCCATACAATTTCATGAATCATGCAAAAATATTTCTGCATTAATTCTGAAATTACTTTCTGACATTTCTGAAATTATAGTTTCTGCTTCTGTGTTTCTTGGCAGCTGGTCTATCATGAGCCAACACACACACACACACACACACACAGAGAGAGAGAGAGAGAGAGAGAGAGAGAGAGAGAGAGAGAGAGAGAGAGAGAGAGAGAGCACTTTTGCTATTTTTATTTATATAAATCCAGTAAGAAGGACATCCTACAAAGCTAGCAGAGCACTTTGTAATTATTCCTTTGGTCCTAATAAAGGATTATCCTCTCCATGTTTGGATTGTTTTTATTCAAACAAACCAATGTGGCTGCAGACATTATAAAAACAGACAAATGCACAGTAAAACTTCACATTTCTGGCCTTTTTCATTGCAAAGTCATGAATTATTTCCCAAAGTCAAATCCCCTTGCAAGTTCACACTGAACAGAGAGCATAACTGGGTGGGCTATAGTGAAGCCCTATATATATTTAGTATTTTTATTTTTATTTGCTTTCAGTGGATTTAATCCCAGGTAATTTAGGATTTCAACTATAATCTTTTTTATTATTATTTTTTGCCTCACAGTAAAATGAGGTAAGTTTCTGATGTCTGCTGCTAGCTTCTGAGAGAGCATTTCTCAATATCTGTTCAGAATTACTGAACAGAAAAAGTTTATATTATTATTATTATTTCCTTTATTTTTGCATCATTTTATTAATCCCATAGTTCATACACGTTCCCAAAGATAAACCTGAAAATTAGTTGCTGCATTGCCTGAAACAGACTGCAGAAAGGAGTTGTCCATTTTGAAAAGTGGCAGAGATGAATGGGTGCCCGTTCCCTGCCACAGCTCCGGAAGCCCTGCAAGTCCAGAAGGGGTCGGGCCGGGTGACGAGGGATCTTTCCCCACTGGTTTTCCCCCCACCAGTTCATCTTTTTTGTTACATTTTCTCTCATTGTTATCAAAGGGAGAGCATTGAAGTGTGAGATGGATGTGGTGAGAGTCAGACCCAGGAGATAAGGGTGCCAGTCCCCACTTCACTTAGCCAAGGAACTTCCTGAGTGGTGTTGGGTCAGTCCCAGACTCTCAGCCCAGCCTACCTCATCAGACTGAGAGCAGCAGGAGAATTTTGTAATCTGCTTTGAGTTCTTTGTAAGAAAAAAGTGGGACATAAATCTAATAATAAATAAATGTGCATACTGAAGTCAGTTGTAGGACTTCAGAAGAGAAATGGGAGGGCTGGGGATCCATCCTAGACTCAGCCCAACCTCTCATTTTGGGGTCTACAACTGGAGGCATCTTCAGATAATGAAGTCTGACTCTCCACCCTTAAAGCTGCCAAGCAGAAGGGGCATATGTGGATATTTTATCTTTTAATAAATAACAGAACAATCTGATTGTCACAAAACAGATTCCAGATGGGCATGAGATTTTTCAGAGGTTGAAGGATAACCTGGTTTGGAGCTGGAACTTCAAAACTGGAGTATCCTTCGCATACCCTTTCAGCTAGAATTGAATGAACCATGATGGAGGTGCCAAGAACAACCTTGGAGATGGGCTTTTGGGGGTAGGGGCAGGAGGCAGTCACTGCCTCAATGTGCGCTAACCTGGCAGCCCGGCAGCCTCCACTCCTCACTCTCTGGGGCAGCAGCTTTGTTCCCACATGACTCCCGCTGTACAGATTGGCAGTAATCCTCCAAGTCTGGACAGTTACGGACATCCAGACTTGATCGTGCTCCAAATGAAACTAATGCTCATGGCACTGGCAAGTGGCATTTACAGATTAACACTTCTGTCCACTCCTTAGATTCAACTAGATCTCTGTGCTTTCCAAAGAAAAGGATCTACACTCAGATTGCAGGGAAAGAACATCTCTCCAAAGATCTACCACATCTTCAGCAGTTGGCCATCCATCTGGCCACCAATGAAGGCTCTCTTAAGAAACATGGAAACAGAGTGAGTCAGAAGGGGTCTCCTGGGCTATGTAATCAGACCCCTGACTCCAGCCAGCTCCACTCAAGACATGCCTGCCATGTGCACGTCCAGCCTATCCTTTGCCACTCTCACCGATGGGGCTTCAATGACCTCCCGTGGAAGCCCATTCCATGCCCTTGGGGTACTGATTGTCAGGAAGTGCTTCCTGGCATCCAAATTGAACCTTGGTTCCCTGAGCTTGGCTCCATTGGAGCACATTCTGTCCTCCATCACAGGGGGAAACAGGTCTCTACCCACCTCCGCCAGAGAAGCCAACATACAAGCAAACACCAGCAATTGGCTCAGCATGCAGCAACAAGTACCTGTCTTCGCAGATCTCTCGTTTTCTTGGTCATCTTGTCAATCGCTATATTCAGGGGGTCACCTTTCTCTTTCCTTCCAGTCTGTTGAAAAGATAACACACAGTGAAAAAAGCCAGTTAGGAACAACAGCCTGCATAAGCATAGGACAAGTTCAGCATTGCTCTGTGTACACTGTTCACTTCTTGAAAAAATGTTTTGGATATTTTCTGAAATAACCAAGTTACAGCTATAAACATTCCAAGGCACAGACAAGGCTCGTTTGTTGTCAAGTTTATTTCTAAAGTGAGGAATAGCCAAAGCTGCCTGGATGGTTTGAGAGAAGATGCTCCGGAACCTTGACTTTTGGTGGGAACAGATCACTACCCTTGAAGGGAAGGGAAGGGAAGGGCAGGGAAGGGCAGGGAAGGGCAGGGAAGGGCAGGGAAGGGCAGGCGGCATAGAAATGTTTTAAGTAAGTAAGTAAATAAATAAATAAATCAGGGAAGGCTTGTCTGCCCAGGAGGAGCCTGCTTGCAGTGCTGCGCAAATGTTCTCATTAACATCATCTGTGAACATTTAGGGCATGTATTTAGGACAAGCGCACACTGGGATCAATCAAGGTACAACCCGTTCAGAAGCTTTCTTTCAACACCTCTCACGGCCACTTATAGTGTGGCTTTCATCCCAACAAAATAGGGCTTCCTAAAAATATTATGGACGTTCCAGCTGCAACATCAGCTGAAGGAGTGCCAATTTAGGCAGGAAGGAGAGAGATCGAATCAACATAAATGCATCAGCATCAAAAAGAATGGCCCTTTGATACCAGTGTCCAGTCTTTCCTCCCCAAGGTCCCCCATTCTATGCGCTTCTTCACTCTGCTGTAACCCAGTTCTTCCTCTGGCAAGGAGGCTCATCTGCACCCTCCCCCTCCCTCTTCTCTGCCCACCATCACTGCTGCCACCCTCCCCTTCCTCCCCTTCTCCCACTGCTGCCAAGGGCCCCCTTCCTCCCCCAGTGGCCCCCTTTTTCCTCTCCTCTTTCCATCACCACTTCCATGACCTCCTTCCAGTTCCCCCAGGGGCCACTGCCACGTTTTCTCTTCCCTCGCACACCCGCATCCACACGGCTTCCCTTTCCCTCTCCTCCTCAATGCCTAGCTGGGAGGAGTCGTTCCAGACACGAGCAAGGCCTGGGAATCGCATTTGCCATGGCAGATGTCTCCAAGGATTCACGGAGCACCCACACTTTTTGGTAAAAAGCCCACTCGGTACCTCCATCTGGCCTGGGTAGACTCCCTCCATGTAACCCCCCAGTGAGTAACGAAAACAATCCAAGAAGGAGTACAGTTTCGTCTTTAAAAGGCCTGCAACAGAAGGCGCCCCCTCTTAATTTTTTGACACGTCCCATAATTCAAGGCCGTCTACAGGCCTGCCCCAGTTCCCAGTTGATGCCAGCTTGCTCCTACAGTATTTTCCCTGAGGAGATCTCCTTTCTCCCTTCCCCTTTCTTGTCTGGGCTCAGCACGCAACCCTCTGTTCTGCCTCCACACACTGGGCGTGGGTGACCTCTTACTTCTTTAGTGCACCTGGGACAGAGGACTGAAGTATCTACCTCCTTTCCCCAGATCGTTCTGTCCCCACTGAACCCCCACAAGTCCTACTGCCCTCTGAAGCTTCTGCTGGGACATCTTGTCCCAGTGTTTCGCAGAGCACCTCTGTGTTTCCATGGGCCTGCACAGACGAGCATCTTGGGGAATGCAGACTTCTCTCGGTAAAACTATTTGCTTCGGTCCCCACATAGCTGCAGCATTCGTTTCCCTATTAAGTTTTTCAGCTCCGTTATTAAGGCGATAACTGCTGAGTGCAGCAGATTACTTTAAAACAAATCATAAAAGGATGAAGAGGGGAGATTAAGGTGACTCAGTAGATCGCACCGAAGTTTTGTGCTAATGCATTATATCCCTGCACTGTACCCTTTGCTCTGAAAAAGAAATATATATATATATCTGGCAATACTCCTCACTATAAAACGAATATTAAGAGCTTCTAATCTCCATCCTGCCAGGCAGCAGGGATGTTAAACATGATAATAAGCAGCAAAACAGCTTGAGGACAGAAGGAAAATGTTCCTTACGACAGTAACAAGGCTCACATTGGCAGACATTAGGTGGAGGATAAAGGCAACTTCCACTTAAAACATTTTTCCCCTTGCAGGAAGTCTCAAAGCAAAGAAATCCTCAGTGCAGATTTTAAAAGGAAGTTGGGAGGGAGGGGACAAATATTTTACAGTTCATCATCCAATTTTTAAAAATACAGAAAAGAGACTCGCGTTAAATTTCTTACTTTAAAAAAGAAGAGCTTTGAGTGACTTAGGGGTATGCACTTTTCTGCCTTTTGGAAGAACATTGTTTATGTCTTGATCATGTCTTGTCTTCTGACCACACTTTATTTAAATGGCGCGCTTTACATCTTGAACGACAATGCAGCCTTTTCTTACCTAAAATAAGCACAGATTTCACTGGATGGGGCTGAGTATCCAGAAATTTCCATGAACACCACAGGTGACAAACCAGCTACGAGTCCCCAGGCACGGACTGACACTGATCACGCAGGATGCCTGCCACAACCTGGAGGACTCCTTTCTCCCATCGGCAGAGGCCGTCCTTGGGCACGAGGGGGATGAAGCAGGCTGGGAGATGACTAGAGCAGAGGTGGAGGGAATCCCATGACTAATCTGACCGAGCACGGTAGAGCTCATTACTGAGCCTATGCTGTGGTGGTGAGGGCGGACAAGAAGGAATTCTTCTCCACTTCCATTGCATCCTCACAGTGCTGTCCAGCTGGGCTTTTTCGGGTGCTGCAGGGCCTGGGTCCAAAAAGGACCTCATCACACCATCAACAGCTCGCTGTGATGGCTTTGAATCACTCGGATTCGCCACAAGCTGGACTCCACAGTTGACATAGTTGTAGATCAGGAAGCATCCAGAGCACCATCTGGCCCATCTTTATTGGATGAGTTTCAGTTGTTGAAACCTGAGGATGTGGACAAGGTGCTTGGACTAATCTGACCCACCACGTGTCTCCTCGACCCTTGCCCCTCATGGCTGCTCATCAGAGCCAAAGACAGGATATGCACCTGGGTCCTGGAGGTTATCAGCAACTCGAAAAGGTCCCTGCCCCTTTGAAGGAGACAGTGATCAGGCCTGTCCTGAAGAGAGCCATCCTGGACCCAGAGATAGCCAGCTTTAAAGGTTTTGAATGAATGAGAGAGTGAGTGAGTGGTGAACGAATTGACGAATGTGATGAGAGCAGGACTCCCGTACCCTCTGTCATGACATCTGTCACCCTACACACCGAGGCTGATGGCCTGGCCAGGAGAAGCACCTCTATAAATGGAAGCTCTACTCATGATCCAGAAGCCTGGAATATCAGGGTCCTGGAATTTGCATAGAGCCTGCATGGAAACAAGAGGTTGTCCTGCTGAGCTTGCTGCCCTGCGCAAGTGCAGGATGATGGGAAAGCTCAAGGAAGGGAGTGCCACCAGAGGGCTTCTTTCCTCATGTGTCGACGGCTGGAGAATTCTAAAGAGATCAGCTCGTAGCTCCTGTGCAAGGGGGCAAAGCCAAGTGTGTGCTCCCCAGGTCCAATGTTCCCCAGTTTGTAGTTTTGCAGCTGGGAGCAACACGGGGATCTGCAAGGTGAGGTGCAAGAGGGAGACAGAGGTCCCGCAAACGACCATTGGGGTTGATTCGGAAAGATTCAGGAGATACTGGCGAGGGGTGTGACCAAGTCAGGTTGGATCCTCCTGCAGCTCTGATGATTTGGAAGGCTATAGAGACTTGGCAACAAGTGGTGTGTGATCAAAAGAAACACACCGACTTGCCCACAGAGAGAGAGAGAGAGAGAGAGAGAGAGAGAGAGAGAGAGAGAGAGATTTTGCTATTTTTATTTATATAAATCCAGTAAGAAGGACATCCTACAAAGCTAGCAGAGCACTTTGTAATCATTCCTTTGGTCCTAATAAAGGATTATCCTCTCCATGTTTGGATTGTTTTTATTCAAACAAACCAATATGGCTGCAGACATTATAAAAACGGACAAATTCACAGTAAAACTTCACACAGTGTGTGTGTGTGTGTGTGTGTGTGTGTGTGTGTGTGTGTGTGTGAGAGAGAGAGAGAGAGAGAGAGAGAGAGAGAGAGAGAGAGAGAGAGAGAGGTGGGGAATGCAATCCTATTGCCCTGCCTGCGATACATGTAAGGTTCTGAGCATGGAGTCTTTGGCACATGCCATGTCCTGAAGGGGGTGGAGGGGCAGTGTTCCCTACCACTTCTGCATATCATTCCCTGGGTTTTCCCTAGACAGCCATTTTCCTGGGGACTCTGCTGACCGCCGTCAATGCCCCAGCCTTCTCCCCTCCCTGCCCCCTGGTCCCGCCGTTTTCTCTTCTCCAAGGCGCACCTGTGACCTTCAGGGTGCCAGCCAGCCTGGCCCAGAAATGCACACTACCTGTGCACATGTACGCATTTATTCATGATGTCTTTTGTGACAGGCCATTGTGGTCCAACACCTGTCAGAGTGCAATACAGCTTTCCTTCCATAGACCCAACTGTTGTTTCATTTTGGACAGCCTCCATACTTACAGACACCTTCATAATGCAAACATACTATATGTGCGTGTGAGTGTGGAGACAGGTAGTTATTCTCTCTTTAGTCTCCCCATAAAATCAACTCTGAAAGCAGCTGAAGGCACCCGCTAACATCCCCCACCCCAAAACCATCATTCTGAAATTTTGCATTTTTCCTCCACGAGGGCATCTTCAGGGGGTGCATTTTTAATGGATTGCTGGAAAGACAATAAGGGGGTTTTGAAAGAAGCTGAAAAGGTTGCTTTGTGTGCTCACACACCTCCTCTCTGACTCAGGTTTAAAAAAAATAAAAGGAACAAAGAAAAAAGACACCTTCTATCTATGTTTTGAAACATTGTCAGGTGATCTCCCTCCCCAAACAGAAATGGGAGCTACTATTCTTGTACCTTTCTGTTCTGAGGGAAAGAAAAGGGGGTTGGGGGAAAGGAGGGGTGGTCATTGGTTGATTTCCGAG